GTTAACAAATAATAATCATAATCTAAATAACATTAACCAACCATTAAATTACCAAATCTATAAAGCACTTTAACTCCCTTTTTAGATAAATTTAAGTAAATTAAAATTAAACACAATAGTAAACAAATAATAACATCATAGTGATAATTAAAAAATAACAGAAAAAATAAACTATTGTAAAATATTAACAATAATAATACTCTAACATTTACTCAAAAAACCAAATGGAACTTTTTAGTCCCATATTTATTCAGGATATAATCGAACACATTCCAAGCACAGTTCCAATCACACAGCCTTCTTTTTCCCAATGTGAGAGTCAGCCTTCCATTTGGGAGTCATTCTTTTATTATTATTATTATTATTATTAAAAGTTTTATGAAGATTACAATATTTTCCCCCCTCCCACCCCCAAACCCCCCCTCCCCCCCACTTCCCAGAGCTGTTCACAGGGTTAACAAATAATAATCATAATCTAAATAACATTAACCAACTATTAAATTACCAAATCTATAAAGCACTTTAACTCCCTTTTTAGATAAATTTAAGTAAATTAAAATTAAACACAATAGTAAACAAATAATAATATCATAGTAATAATTAAAAAATAACAGAAAAAATAAACTATTATAAAATATTAACAATAATAATACTCTAACATTTACTCAAAAACCAAATGGAACTTTTTAGTCCCATATTTATTCTGGATATAATCGAACACATTCCAAGCACAGTTCCAATCACACACCCTTCTTTTTCCCAATGTGAGAGTCAGCCTTCCATTTGGGAGTCATCCTTGTCAATAATGATAAAGGAACAACCAGAAAGAGCACGTCAGGGGTTAAAGGCTTTTATAAAATTTCTTTCCTTTGGCTTCCAGGGGATCCTGGGATCAGGATTTGCCCTGAAAGTCCAACAGAAACAGCGCCAGAAACATTTCAACAGGCAGATTCCTGCAGCGGCCTCTCTAATTCAGGTAAATATGGAATCGTAAAATTGGGAAAAAAAACTGAACTGAACAGTCAGAAGGAAATGAAAGAGAAACAGGAGCAAAAGCTGAGTTTCAGGTGGGTCATTTCCATCTGTGGCCATCGTGGTAGCAGGGGGGAGAGAAGAAGGTTCTGGAGAAATTGTCGGACAATTAAAATAAAGGAGTGAAAATAAAAATAAATCCCTGAGCTTGCGATGCAGTGTCAGACGCCTCTTTTTACGTCCCCCGTAGACTTTGTGGAGGAGCTACGCAGCAGAGAAACCTCAGGGCTGCCTGGCCACCTGGAAGATCTACATCACCTCAGCTCAGATCCCAAAGAAAACAGCAGCACCGCCCAGCCCAAATCTCAGAAAACAGGTCAGGAAAACAGGGCTGGTTTTTATTTTATTATTTTTAGTTAATTACATTTATTAAGCATTTTTCCTGAGGCGAAAAACCCCCCAACGTTTTATCCTCACAACTCCATACAGTACTCCTTCGACTTAACAACAGTTCGTTTAGTGACCGTTCAAAGTTACAACAGCACAGAAAAAAAGTGACATGACCGTTTTTCACACTTACGACCGTGGCAGCATCCCCTCCCCCCAGTCACGTGATCAGAATTCAGGCATGTATTTATGACCGTTGCAGTGTCCCACGGTCATTTGTCGATGGGGGAGCCAGAATCCCTTCACGATCCTGTTAGTAACATCTGCAGTGACTCGCTTAACAACGCGGCAAGAAAAGTAATACAAAGCGGCAGAAGTCAGTTAACAGCTGTCTCGCTTAGCAACGGAAAGTTTGAGGGCAAGTGTGGCTGTACATCAAGGACCCCCTGTATGAGTTTCTCGTCTACGTACATAATTTTACAGAGCAGTTTCCAAAAGCAAAGACTGAATTTTATTTGAATACCAGGTATTTGAATAATGGTAAGGCGCATGAAAGGTCTGTTTAAAGAGCTCTAAATCACAACAAATTTGGGCTTTTGACTATGTAATGTAACATTTAATGATTTTGTCTGTACATGGCGGATGATAAAATCTGAGTTTTGTTCTGTTTTGTTGCAGAGTAAAAGATACAAGAGGAAAGGAAAAACTGGGCGGGATAATGGCTCAACATCTGTAAATCCAGGAGACGCACCGTTGCCCGTTCCTCAGATTACTTACGACTTCAGCGAAGATCAAGAAGACAAGAAAGAGTTGAATTTCTACCTTGATGAACCGGGAGGTAAACTATCGGCTCTCCCTTTTTGGGTTGGTACTTTTTGAGTTGGTACTTCCTGGATTCAGAAGATACACCGCTGCTTTAACGAAGGGGAGATTTAACACTGCCAGAAATATCCTGACGTGTGGATGTGTTGCACATTAAACAAAAGAGGGAGACCTCCAATGACACCGTCACGGTCATCATTTTAATTATTTGGACCATATCTTATGGACCACCCTGGGTGTGGCATGCTTTTGCATGCCCCAAAATGTTTTCCCAATTGAATAATAATAATACAGTTGGAAGGGGCCTTGGAGATCATCT